TCGTGCTGCCAGTATCAACTGGCCCACAAGTGCTGCCACCTACATCGAGGGCAGACGAAGGGTCTTTCAAGACTAGAAATGTCAACCGCATCGGTTTACGTATGCGTTAAGGTGTGAATGTGGCATCATTCTCAGATCAGCCCAGCATGGGGTAGCATTGAAAGGAACCCTGTGCGTAAAGTCGCAACATCCTGGAGATGACTTGAGATGCTTCAGGTTTGGGGCTCAAAAAGTGAAAGGTTTGGGGTACATGCTTGGGGTAATTCAAGGTCCGGGGTCTTCAGCTTGGTGCGCATCGCCTAGTAGTCCGTAGTCCTCTCTGCATTCATCGCACAGCCCTACCATTCAGGTGCAGAGGTGGACCTGCTTCGGAAAACTGGGATTGCTTCGTGCTCCGCACACCTCACACTGGCTGCGCATAGTGGGCTTGCTAATGTAGACCCATGATTAATAAACCGCCTCCGTTTAAGGGCCTTAATATTAGGATCACTATTAAAATCCCTATTAACGGGAGGGGGTTTTTCAATCAGGGGTCTACATTAGTTTCCAAACCAGGGACCCTTCTCAACTTAGGGGTTGCGCAACAAAATGTCATGCAATCATTTCTCCTGATTATTCCTACTATTGCTGCTATGGTTTTTTTGGGTTTGGGGCTTAGGAATGGTTACTTTTTTACGGCTATTCTTACTACTGTTACTATCTTTACTATTATGAATTATTACTGTCACTATTATGATATGCAAGCCCTAAGCCTAGGGGACCCTAGGATATCCCTTGTTTTGGACACCTATATGGGGGGGGGGGTTTGGTGATTGAGCCAAAAATGGCGAATGCCGCATGCCCAACTTTCATATGTTCTACTCTATCTTGGGGGCTGTAATGTCTCTATTCAAGAAACTTCTCGCATGGAACCCCGCAAAAAAAAAGCCTTCTCTAAGACCATTATTGTCCATGCTTAATTACTTTGGATGGATGAAATCTTATACCGCTTTACTCACCCTATACGCCAAAAATGGCAGCATTTTGATGCACCATAAACCGTAAACGCTTCCGAAGTGGTGCAAGATATCCTCCGTTCTGGGGGGTCCTTTCTACAGGCCGACTGACTGCACAAAGATCCCTTCTATGGGTTCCCTGCAAGGATAAACATACTTCTCAAACTCCCAAACCCTAGGTTTAGGGTTTCGGGTTTAAGGTTCAGCGGTTTAGGGTTGTTTAGGGTTTAGAGCTTCCAAAAAAGGGCCTTCAGCTGGATCGTCATCGCAGGGCGATCGCAAGCGCCACGCACACGCCCGCTTGAGCCCGAAGCAGCTGCTTGCAAGGAAGCAGCAGATTAGGCTTTGGGATTTAGGATTAAGGGTTTGGGCTTTGGGATTTCGGGTGTATTGTTTGGGCTTTGAGATTTAGGGTTTAGGGTTTAGGCTGTGATTTAGGGTTCAGTTTTGGGCTTTGGGATTTAGGGTTTAGGGTTTGGGTTTTGGGATTTAGGGTTTAGGGTTTGAGCTTTGGGATTTAGGGTTTAGGGTTTACGGCTTAGGGTTTAAGGTTGAGGGGCTATATTGGGTTATATAGGGCTATCTCGGTTTGTGGTTTTTAGGGCTTAGGCTGTGGGATTTAGGGTTCATATGAGCTAGAGTCTAAGCTCCCAATATCCCCTACTTAAGCCCTATAATATTGCCCAAAATCTGCTTAAGGACGTTCGACTCTAGTTCATATATAGGGGCTTTATTGGGGTATAGGGTGATATCTGGGAAAGGGGTTTTAGGGCCTAGGCTTTGGGATTTAGGGTTTTGGAGCTTCAGGGCTTGGAGGTTCAAGTCTCAGGATTTCGGGTGTGAGGCTGTAGGGTTTTTGAGATCCCCAGCAAGGTAATGGGTTTAGGGTTTAGGGGCTTTAGGATCCCCTTCAAGTAATGGCGCCCCCAGCCTATTTTGAGAAACTACCACATCCCAATGTAAAAACACCTTGTTTGAGATCCAGGGAATACGCAGGCAGTATCGGAGGATCCTTTTGCAATATCTCCTGACATTCATATTTAGTGGTTTCCCGATGTTTTTTTTGTTTTTTTTTTGGGAGGGGGGGGGAGGGAGGGGGTGTACCATGTTGTAGGTCCCAATCATAAGGATTACAGTACTTTGTGGTCTATCAGTGTCCCCTTATCTATGGAAACTACCGAATAGGTTTAGGGCTTAGGGATTCAAATCATCTTGAAAAGCCATTTACATCTACTTACCGTTTTCTGGAAAGCCTGGAAACCAACGTCATGAGCTAAGTGCCAGGCGGTGTGTATCTGTGGCGAGAGCCTCAGAAAACGCAGATTCGTCAAATCCAAGACCCTAAAACCCACCCTAAACCCTAAACCCCCAACCCCTAAACCCTACACACCCACAGCCTAAACTCTACACCCTAAACACCTAAACCCGAAACCCCTAGACCTAAACCCCTGAAACCAGAAACCCCTAACCGGTTGTTCCTTCCAGGATCAGCCTCCAGGATGGATACCAAATGGAGAATCAAAAAGGAAAAGCAGATAGAAGGCGGTTAAGGTTTAGGGTTTAGGGTATCCAGACCCCCAAAAGGATCTAAAACTTAGATCCCCTGGAACCATAGGGGAAATGGTATGAGGAGTATGTAAAGGTTATAAATGGGTCTATGTAAGGGAACAAATTTTCAAATCCTCCGAAAGGTCTGTGTATATATATATATATATGTATATTTTACGGTTCACAGGTTATATTGGGGATTATATTGGGTTGAGGGTTCGGGTCTAAACTACTTAAAGGGGCTTGTACAGGGGATTATGTAGGGAGTATCATAGAGACTTCTAAGGGAGATACCAGGCCTTTAGACTACAGCTCTAACGGGAGTTATCAGGTTTAGGGTTTAGAGTTAGGGCTCTAGGGTTTAGGGCTTAGGCGCGAGGATAAGGAAGATCTCGTTTTGAGAGCCCGGTACTTGGTGAGAACTTACAGACTTCTGAAATGGCACATAGATCATCGCGCTTCATGAGGCTAGCAAAAATCACCAACTCTTGTCGAATTACCTTGAACCCTAAACCCTAAACCCTAAACCGGGAAGTTTGTGGAACCTATTCTCTCAGAACAACCTGCCATGTAGGCTACAACCTTAACCCCAAATGCCCTAAACCATTATCCAAGAACCCTAAACCCTACGTAATCTCTGCAAGCTTGTAATCTCGATAACCCTGTCAGACGAACCTCTCAAACCCCTAAACCCTAAATC